GTGGGTTAAGTTCAACCTTGAACCTTCACATCTAGGTATTAGCAATGTGATTTTCTTTTTATCTCAGGCTGATAGGCCTAACCTTGTCGGTCTTTCCAAATATATTGATTAGCCTGTGAGAAGAGAGAGGCTGAGAGACCGAGTGCAGAGGCTAAACTTGTAATTAACGTCCTACCAACAGCATCCCATTGTTTCACAATGAGCAAAAAGGTTGTACACTAAACTTACAATGAAGACATCATTGTCAGTTTGAAGATAGCAGAGCAGAATTTTTAAGTTTTGCCCAAATAAGGAAATAATCAAATGGATGACAGTATTATTAGTAATATCAGCGTGATGATTTGAAACATGGCAACCGTGTTGCTGGATTTGAGAACATAATCTTGATTTCATGATAAACCACCAATTAGAGTGGCAGCCTTCCACAAACGGAGGAGGAGTGCTGTTGAAACCCAACCATCAGTGACAGGCTCAAAGAGGAAGCTTCACCAACTTTTCCAGAAAAGGACATTGAACACAAATTACTAATGGCAGTGGCAGGCAGAAAAAGAGAAAGGCCAACCTCTGTGCCTTTGTTGTTCTCCTTTAATTTTGTTAATCGCCCCCAGGTAAAGATTAGCTGCTCTTGCCAATTTAATTCAGCCTCAAATGATACTGCTACAAGGTCACTTTTTCTTTTGTCTCTCTAATAGGCAGCACAGGGAATCATTAGTCCACTTCGGCTCCCTGACTGATGGGTATTTCACTCCAATCATCAGTACCGTGCGTGTGTTTGCGTAGGTGTGTGTATGTGTGTGTGCAGAATGAGAAAAAGAGTAGGAGTATACCCCACTCCAACATCCACCCTACAGCTCACACACACACACACACACACCTTCTGCCACAGACATCACCATCCCCCTACCCGCCACTGCATTGTGCGCCTGCTGCTATTGACAGAGTGTCAGAGTTGAGGGGAGATGTCTTAATCAACTTGGACACAATGGGCATTGATTTGACAAGCTGCTGTAATGACCTTCTTGTTTTCGTAAAGGATCACTGTTTATTTGGGCCAAAACTGATGCGCTGAGCATGCCTCATCGTCATGGAAACTGTTATCACGGCTGAAATGGGACAGGGCTCAGTCTTTGGATCTCTCTTTTTCTCCCTATGTCTCTGTCACACACACACAAACACAGTCTCTTATGCACACATGCAGCCATGCGTATTGTTATTGATATGTTTGATGCAGTGTAGCCAGATGTGTGTTTGTGCAGGGGTCAGAAGGAAATGCTATAATTCGTGTCAATGTCTTTCACATCAATGTTATGGAAATCATTGCAGACCGGATGGATTGACTGAGAAGGCTCAATAATCCTAAGACAGCCATTTCATTTATCTGCCTGCCAGCTCTTTGGGAAAATTATTTTAAACGCTGTAGCTCATTGATTTACTAAATGACCCATAATAACATCTAAAACAGATTGTTTATTTTCAGTGGGAAGATGAAGTAAAAGATATCTTAGATAGTCATTTTAAAAAGGTCTGTTTTCATGTGATTCTCCTACATCTGATCAAGTCTAATCTTAGAGTTTTTGTGACATGGATTTTCTTGTATGAATTACTTCTATCAGACAGTGAATGTTCAAAGACGCAGAGAAAGATTGCCTTTGTTTGTGTTCAGGCACTAACATATAAATGGTGTGGTGCTCCATCACCTGGTTGATGGCCACAGGCACACCCCACTGCCTTAGGAAGAAGACACTGCTGAGTCGATTTGCAGGGATCTCAGGTTCAGGGTACTGTCAGCTTTTGTCAGGGCAATCAGCAACACTCAGTCTCCCCTGAATAGCCCGCACAGCAGACGGTAAATATTATTGGCATTCTGACACCCTCTTACTGCAACAAAGTGTGTAAAATTGTTAATAAGGAACATGATGGGCGATTATCCAAATAACAGGATGAGGCATCTGACAGATGATTTAAGTCCTTAGCAGGCTAAAGGCGAGGTTTGTTTTGGCAGTGGGAAAGTGAGGAAAAGTCACAGAGGTCACATGGTAAACATTGTCCTTGTGCTTTATACATCCCTACAACTCCTTATAAAATGAACACGAAGACCACTGTATGCACTTTAACACTTGAGGGCTACTTGACATTATGTATGATTGTCATCTTGGTAATACTAAGAAGATAACAATTGCTGAAATGTCAGCTTTAAGTGTGACTGTAAATGAGCTGCTTGTTTATTGAAATCAACTGTTATTAGTTATTTCTGCGCCCTCCCCTGAAAGTCTCAGTGTGACACTTTGATAAGGTACACAGTATTCCTCCCCTTGCATAGAGCAGGTAAGTCATTATTTTTAAAGGCATAGTATCTCCAAGTCACAGAAGGACATGTTGATAGCAGAATAAAGTACACAATCGTAAACGTTTATGCCAGTATTTCTCACTGTATGATTACGTTTTTATGGTTCGCATTCTGATATGACTTGTTTTTGCTGCCAGAGCAATGAGATAGGCCCAGAGGTGGCATTCTCCTTTATTCTGCTTTATGGTGGAAGAGATGCCTAGAGGAGAGTCTTGCTCAGTTTTGTTCGGTAAACACACTGCCAAGCTAAATGGCTGATCAATCAATTTCAGTGGGATCGATCTGCATCAGTTCTGCCTGCATGCACACACCCTGAGCCACTTTATTGTAAATCAATCATTTTGAAAACATCTCACAGAGGGGCCCGTCCTCACTAACAAGCCATCAATTCCAGCTGCCTGTGTAGCACCCTTATCAGGCCACAAATCAACAGCCGCACAAACATCTGCTCCATTTCCTTTGCTTTTCCCCTCTGACTCACTATGTCTTTTACCCCACCGCTCAACCCCCCCACCCCACAAACGTCCCCACTGCTAGTCGTGTTTTGATGGTGTGTCTGGCAAGGAGAAGAGAGGAGAGGCTGCGAAGCTTCACCATGCCACTTAAGATAACCCAAGGGTAATAGTGTTTGCACATTTGAGAGAGAAATGAGGACAAATGCCAGGGTGGGTCATACATTCTCCTTCTGACTGGCTGTTTGACGTCGGAGTGTGAAATTGCACACTTCAACTGAGGAGCAAGGAGGTGGAGCGGGCAGGGCCCAGAGACTTATGAGATGTCCACTGATTTCTAGCTATGAGGGAGAAGTGGTTGTCTGAGAAGTCATGCTGCTTCATCATAACACCTCAGAATTGGTGCTGCTCATGTTGTCTGAAGGATTCTCAGGAGATATCTCAGTACCCTTGACACAGTGTTTAGTGCAATGTATCTAGAAGCAGATTATTTCAGTTGGAAAATTGCTGCATTACATAAAGGTTAAAAATCCTTTAACTTTGGCACTGTTTAATGACATGCTTATCACCGTCCAGGCTCAGATGTGTTAAGGCTCCAGCAGGGGGGAAAGAGGATTACTTTCTCAATATATCATTTTCCCCCTGAAATAACTGTATCTGTAAACCCAATCCACACTGAAATGCTGCACACCCTAATATGATACACAAACATTCACATCACTGCCATGACAGAACAGCCAGATACCTGCTGTGATGTCCTTTGCTCATCCACTGTCACCGTCTCTGTGGAGATATACGAGCCAGTGTGGACAGAATGTGATTCGAATGCAATTCCCACCCATCACTGTGGGATCCCTGTTGATTGACAGTCTGACAGGTGAAAGTGATGGAGCAGCTAATAGCATGTCAGTAAATGTAAATCAAGCTCAATGGATAAGCGGTTTGGTGGTGTAACTTGGACCGCAGGGTCACCGACCTCTCTGCAGGGTGGGGATTGGTAGAATACAATATACATTCAACTGAGGCTTCCACTGGTGATAGTCAAGGTCAGGCACCAAGTCTATGGACATTTTACAGCACAGTATGTATTGTATATACTCTGTAAAGTGGTGACATCACATGCAAATGCATTGATTTTTATCAGGATGTTTGATGTAATTGTGGCTCCAAAGCCTTGCGTAAATAGTGCGCTGTTACTTAAGCTTAGCATCAACAGTTTGTGTTCTGTTCCCTGCGTTCTTGTGCCCTGCAATTTTTACTGAAAACCTTTCAGCCACTACAGGGTTAGCTGATTAATGAGTCCTGGCTCTGCACTGCAGGTCACTGTCATCAAAACCAACATGTTAACTTTAGATACCTGCATATCCAGAAGGAAAAAACCACATCTGGATCAAATTTGAATCCGTCGGCTGTTTTTAACACTCTTCATCTTAAAAAGCCAAACTGATGTTAACTCTGGTTTTTGTTCTTTCTTTGTCCCACACTCTCTGTGCAAAATAATGCGGCCTCTTCGGTCTGATAGCCACTGTTTGGAATGGATAATTACAGAAGGGCTGTAGGAGAGTGTCATGGAGGGGGTTGTATAGCTGAGAGACACCATCCTGTCCTCATTTTCGCTTGATTTATTAGACAATATGTAAAGTCTTAGTTAATGCACCTTTCAATATCAGACATTTAAAAAAAAGTAATTGGAAGGGGCTTTTTAAAAGTTATGATTAATTAAGTATAGACAGTATTCATCTTTTTCATAATTTGCATTTCAGTAATGTATGTAGCACTTGAGCAGCCTTGAATTTGTAATTACAGTAAGTACCACATTTGAGTAAATCTACTTATCCATTTTCCACCACCATTCCTGAGACTTAGGAAATATAATAATAGAGGAATTTGTTCTTTGAAGTTGGAATAAAAAAGAAGTTCCAGATTTGAAAAGAAAAAGGACCCAAGGACAAAAAAAGGGGCTACAACTTACATTTTACATTTGTGAAGACTGTCTTTTTTTAAAAACTGATTTATTGTTTAGTCTATAAAAACAAGTGTTCAAAAAATGTGAATTGAGATATTTTGTCTGACCAGCAGTTAGAAACCCAAAGACATAGGCTACTAAGGTTTAAAAATAAAGGATATGCGGTGTGAAAAGAGGAACCTCAACAATTTAACAATGCATTTCTACATGGAATTGTTGTTGTAGGTATAAAAAAAAAAAAAAAAAAAAAACATGTACAATCTATGTACAGACTTTTTGTACAAGACAGTATATTTATCAGCAGATTATATTTGACAGAGTCAGGTAGATCAACTCAGCACCATCAAATAATCCATTTATCCATTACATCTAGAACACATCCAAACAAATTAAACTGCTATGTCATACTTCTCTTTGCTGCAGTGACGATGTGCCAACAACTATCTGTGATGCACAAGAGCAATGTCCTGAATTTTTCCTGAACTGACAGGCAGCCCAAAAAAAAAAGAAAAGAAAAAATCAACAAATTGCAACTTAAAAAATTGCTGAATGCAATTTTAATGTATTAAGACTTGAGACCCACCTCCCATCCCCAGTATTATATATTCTATCTAGTACAGTTCCCAGCAAATAAGTTATCTCCATCCTTTACAGCAAAAAAATAGATTAACAAAAATAATGCAGCATACTGTAACAGTAGTATATGATGCATCATAGCTTTAGATTTGTTCAGTGGACAACACATCTTGATCTTACAGACATAGGCCTCTACAGTATGTGCATCTTTCAGTCATCCATATCTAACCATAGTGATAACCTGTAACCAAGCACACAGCAGAGACATGTGATTTGATGGCTGGGGCTCGTAGCTCTGTGCCCCCAGCAGCCTCTCAGGCCTCCTGAATGCCACTTGTCGCTATAGTGGGACTTAATATGGGCCCTCCTCTTGACCTCCTGCACTGCCTGGCACTATACTGGCATGGAGGCACTGATTGCTTGGATGTTCTCCATGTCAGTACAAGACACCGTTCTCACAGTGGAAAACGGTTGGACTCAGCTCCCTCAATGTGAGCTTCTGCCCCTGAATGACTGAAGGATGCGTGTTCAACTAAACTATACATGGCACTTCAAAAACACTCTAAAAACTTTAGAGGTATACAACGCAAAGACGTAAAACATCTAATAGAGACAATAAAATATGACAAGATGTTGGAAGGAAACACATCTCAGTCCAGTGTTGTGAATAATGCCATCCTGAATGATCAAGCGTAATGAAAACAAATGCTAAATTACTTTGTGAATTTATGTTGATGACTGTTTGCAGCAAGTTTTAGTTTTGAGCAATGCTATGTTTAAGTACCTCAAAAAAATACTCTACACAACTAAGAAGCAGTTGTGACAGATTGTGACGTATAATGACAAGCTGACAAAATGGAATGTAAACCCTGTAATAACACAAAGTAATATAAACAGGAAGATTAAGGATGTTCTGTCTTTTGATAACCTTTGCTGAATTGGTGCTACCTTCCATCTTTGTGATGGCTGATATACTGGATCAAATTCTGCCTGACTTTTCTTTCTGTCATATACAGTATTTGAATAGTCTCTGTATCCTTTCAAGGATCTTTGATTTTCAAGATACATGTTTTCCAACATAATCAGTTTGTCGAATCTATGTATAATGAGTCATTGCAATTATCAAATATTAATAGTACCTTATTTTTTTGAGCTAGCGTGTATGCCATTAACGACCCAATTATACATACAGTTTACTCACCACTTTACTCACATATTTTCTGAAAAGAAATCTATTTGCTACAGTGCGACAATGATGTAATCACAGTTCAAAAGTTCACTTCAGGACAATGTGTATGAGGCTTCGGTATAGTTGCACCACACCCAATAGACGGACATTAAAGCTCAGATCATTTTGTTTGAGAAAGAAATGTGGTTTATATAATGGGCTGAATTTACACAAACATATTTATCACGATATTTTCATCTTCCGACATTTTTAAAATTTTTCTTTTACAGTCTATATAGGAGAATCGCTGCAATAAAGTGGCAGCATCTCCCTGTCATATCTGAAACCATATTTTATGGAAAACACCAGCACACTGTGCTATGGTGTACACACTCTCCTTCTACAGTAGGGACCTAATTTAGGTCAAAAACTTCTAATAAAGGTTGTTCAGTTCTGGCCTGTACACACAGAGGGAGCAACTCTATGATACTCTAATTATTGTTACTACACTGATCTGCTCTCCATCTAAATACAACATTTATCCCCCAGTACATGATTTCTTTACACCCTTCTTTCCATCAGCATGCTTGTAGTAAGGGATGGTTAGAAGTAGACACACTGTTTAGTAATGGGTCATCTGTGTAACTAAAAGAGGTCTCATGTGAGCTTCACTTCATTTCTACAAGCATTCAACACAGCCAAGCTGCCAGGCTGAAGATGGTGGTTTCACAATGCAAGCTAGTCTAAGCTTTATTAGCTCTAGAGTGATACAGTTCATTAAAGGGGGGTGGGACCTAAAAAGGGAACCTTTTTAGTATGATGTGAAATAAGGGGTGATAGAATCAAACATAAAACTCTTTGATATGTAGTTGTAATGAAGAATAGTCAGTTTTTTTCTATCTCTTACAGTAAAGTACTTTTCACTTGTCTAGAAAAATAAGTAGAAATTGATTATGTTTATGGATACAAAATTATGTTCAAATGTATAAATCCAACTACATATTTGTATGAAGTTTACATATTCGGAGTGCAAGGCTACCACCTCAATCCTCCATCTCACCGCTGGATTTGGATCTATCAGTGCCTAAACCTGTGAAATACAGGCTCCTCTCCAGTGTTGTCTTTAGTCTGTAGCACTGTTGCATGTCCACCCAACTATGTTTGAGCATTTCCTCATGTTAGAGGACTGAATACAGCAACTTAACTCCTGAGAGTTTTGAGTCGTGTGACATCTGGGTTGGCAACAAAGAACATCCAAGCTGTTTATATGGCCTCTGTGCCAACCCTGTGCCAGGCAGTTGCTCCAATCAAAGGAGGACCCATTGATGCCCACTTTTATGCAATATGTGGCATTTATTTCCTCAGATGTGAACTTTTTGTGACAGACAAAACATACACCACTCTTCGTTCTGATCCCAATTCTGCCGCAGATGTCACGGCAAAGTGTTGACGGTGGGCGCGCATCTGTTGTTCATGTTGGCTCTGCTCAATCATAGTTGGGGATTTTGGTTTGGTTTTTGAGATCCAAACTCTCTAGAATCTTTGACTGTTTCTTTATATCATTACCTTCACTTTTATAGCTAAGATCTCTCATGCTGTGCACCATCACATACTACTGGGGTGGATGACAGCACTCACCAGTGCAACACCAAAAGGACCAGTGGCTGCTGAATCCATGAAGGACAAGGCAGGTCATTTATTTGTCCTTCTCATGTATTCAGGTTGATCATCTGCACTGTATCTGCTATAGAGGGGTCTCAGGCACATATCATGCGGTAGGAGCTTGAAACAGAGTCATAGGCTTTATGATCAGACAAATCAGCAGAAGATGATTTTGTTCTGCAGGACTGGAATGCTCACACTCAACATGTTGAGTAGACTGTGAAGTAGCGGACCTTACACAATGACATAGTGTATAACAACCTAAGAACAAGATTAGTACTGTATGCATCCTAAGCCAAGCAGTCCTCCCTCCTTTGTTCACTTTTTCCATCCTTCATGTCCTCAGAGACATTTTACTGGAGTGGTGGATCTGATGGTTCTAGTTGTTCTGTCAAAAGAAACTTCAGTTTTAGTGCAAATCGAACAGAAGCAGACGGACGATATGAAGCTGATGAACCCAGCTGGTTTGACATGATGCGTCTAGGCAGATCTTTGGGAAATGATATCACTGCAACCCTCATCCTCCAGTAACCAGTCACCTTAGCCGTGGAGTCTGGTCACATGAAGAGGTGAACTATTGCAAAGAATTACAGGAAGCACTTTTTTTTGTCAACTCTTAAAATAATTCCAAAAAGTGCTAAGGGAGAGGGGCTGTACAATCCTTATTTGATTGTCATTATGTACATCTCTATGGATACAGTAATAAATAAAACAATGTCCAAGAGCATGGAAGTAACATTAAAGGTATACACATAAGAGGTCCCTTCCAATTTGGGTTCCTGTCCAACCCTTGATTAGAAGAATGAGTGATGAGAAATGTGTCAGTCTTCATCATCCCTGTCATCATCCTCATCACTTCTTCACTGGTGATCTCTTCTTATCTCTTTTGAAAGAGCCTACAGATGCCTGATGAGTCAGCAAGAAAACCTGGTGCTCAACATTCATCTTCGACTTCTCTGATTGGTGGAATCAGACTACTAGTGGATTTGTATTGGTTGACTTGGTTGGCCATGTGAGTGCTCATGGGCTTGATCTGGATGTTCCGTGGGTAGGCATTTTCTGGTTCATCTGTAAACCATTTCTTTTCTGAAGAGGACAAGGCAAGAGAGAAAGAAAACAGGCTGAGTTAGTTTGGGAAAAGTATGCAACATGGGATTATTTACAACCATACTGCCTCAGTTTAAGTGATAGACTTGCATGGCATTCTTTGTGATTATCATCAAATCATGAGGTCCAGTTTGAATTTGTGTTCTGGTGCACTGTGCCAATTTTAGGTTGTCATGAGGGTACGTTGTCCTCTTCCAGTACAACTGTGCAGAGTACAGTTAGTATATGGACATGATCTGTCAGAATTCCAATACATTTTTTGAGAATTTAATTGTAAAACAAAATACTAAAGTGTTACAGGGTTGGTTCATCTAAATTACACTGGTTCTCCTGGTATCCAGCATAAATAGTTTTGGTTTTATTCATCCATCTCTGAGACATTTCTGCTTCCTACAGTGAAGAATGGAATTTAGTATGTGGTGTGAACAGTATTTATGTACTGTATCACATCTAAAGAAACACTGTCACTGGTTTTAGTGGAACTTCTTTTCACCAAAGACTCACACTCTCACTCTGGTCAGAGTGTCACGTAAGCCACTGTGACACACACTGGTCGGTGTGTAAGACACAAGAAACCTACAGTGTCTACACATTTTATAAATTAGCAGCTCACTTCAGCAGCCAAATTTGTGTGATAGGCATATTTGTCTCAAAAGAGATGCTGCTGTTGAAATTTTAAACATCTCTTTTCAATCGTGTGAGCACCAGAAATTGAATTCTACTCACTCAGATTTTATGGGGCCAGAAATCTCCGCTCAAGGGGAAAACAACTATCTGCATGGCTTGTTACCACTAGTGATAAGCTAGAAAAGTTTTTATTTTGTTTAGTTTAGCTCTGTTTATAATATAGATGAGTTGCCCCTTTGAGCCAACTATTTAACCTACACATTTCACTAGTCACTATTCCTAGTTAGATTTACTCTCATGCTGACAGTGAAAAAAATTTGAAAGATTTGGATGTGTCTCTTTAGAGAAGATCTAAGTATTTCTGAGGAAAGGGAAGGGTGTTTGCCAGCTGTCAGAAGTTTGTAAACTCTCTCCCAGCACTTCACAGGCATCTGCACTGCCATTCAAGATGTCGCTTCCTTTTGGTGAAGTTGTAATATCAAACTTTAACTTTGCTATGTGGAGCAAAACTTGTGTGTGTGTGTGTGAGTGTGAATGTGTGTTCACATACATACAGGACTGCATGTGTAGAGATTCATTTGTATGGGTTTGCTTGTGTGTCACCAAGTGGGGCCATATATTACAGCACAGACATTTGATGTGCAGAATTGTGCCTGAGGTGAAGCAAGATGTCTGCCATCTCTCTCCTGAGTCTGCTGCTGATACGGTGAACTTAGTGATGTCGCCTCAAACCACCATATCAGGTGCATAGGGTTACAAGGAGGAAACTTAGACTCACCATTCCCCTTCAATTTAGATTTTAAATTTGTCACACTTCCCACTTTCATGGCATGACCGATGGCACACGGCTGGACACACTTTCTTAAAGTTGTGTGTATATGTAAGCAGTTTGGCTGTGTCAGGGGGATTTGAATCACCCTGACCTACATGTGAGCTATGATCTGGGCTTCTACAGTCAGGCAGCATGTCCTTGGTTACCCTGTTCTGATTTTGATAAAATCATAACCTACTATAGCCTACTCACTGGTGATCTAAATATCTCTAACTCTGGTAGAATCATCAAATAGCATTCAGGATGTGGCAGAGAGGGGTTTCTCTCTCTCTCTCCCTACTCAACTATCTTCGTGCCCGATTTGCTGGTTCACCTGTGTTTTCAGTTACTGGGCGGACCCATTACGTGCTATATCTTGGTGGTTGGAGCTTGATCAGATGTTCACTTCTAGCCTTTTCCCGGAACCTGGCGTTTGCGTGGTGGCGTGGTGCGCACCTTGGCGTGGCTGACTGAGGCATCGTGTCTCTCCATGAACCCCTCAGCATTGAAAGGTAGCACCCCTGCTGCTTCTCATTGCCTGGTTATAGCGGGCAGTATTGGCATCCTAATCGTTTGTTCTCTCTGCCTGTGGCACGGCTGGCTTGCTGCCATTCGGGAGACAATCCTCCAAGAAACAGCGGGGAGAGGGCTTTGTTCAACACTTTGAGGCAGTATTGGGCAACTTTCAGCTTGGCCCAACCGAGCGAGAACTGGACGAGCCACATAAAAGTAAGATTTGTGCTTTATTTGAAGGACTTAGCAGGAGACTTTAGCGTTGGTTACCAAGTGGTTGGTTTTACATATATGTGCGTCAGGTTGTGTGCGTGTCTCCGTTGTAGTGTTTGCGCAGAGCGTCTCCCGGCTGTTTCTGAGAGAGCCATCGGGGAGTGTCAGGCATAATATGGGTTATAGCTACCAGGAGACGGGCCTGGCTGCATGCAGAGGGTGAAGTCGGGTATATTAATCAGGGACATTTTTGGTAAATTACCAAGAAAACCACCTAAAATCCTGAAAACTATCTTAAGTGTTACTTTTCAACTTGTTATGAATCTCACCTATATAAAGAAAATGATGACTTTAGAGACTTTGGACCTTCAAACACACCACCTACCCCTACCTTGCTTTGATGACATGTTCAGGTAAAAATGAGATGGATAGTACGGGTTTAAAAACACACCAAACAATTCATCTTAACTGAAGAACAACTGCGTTTCATGTACATTTGTTTTTTTAAGTTGTTAAATGCTTGTATGGGTTCAACAGTCATTAATTGAAAACATTGGAAACCGGTGGCTAACTAGGCCTGTAAGGAATCTGCCACATTTCAGATACTCCTATTTGTAAACATACTATGAATTAAACAATTTTAGCCCAAATCTTTCCCCTACTAAACACACTCTCTGCAGACATATCCAGCATCATTTAGAATCCCAATGTCTTCACCACACCTCTTGGGGAACCATGCCCCACATTCTACAAAGGAGATCCAGGCCTCTGTGGCTGTGGGATCACTTTGTCTCCATAAGATATTTTGCAGGATCTGCAGTGATGCTCATTTGTTTGTTTTCTAGTGGATTATTTTCAGGCTTCTCTTTGAGCCTGTGTAATTAATGTGCTCTATTGTGGCTGACATGTACTCACTGCACCATCTTTAATATGATAAAAATACTAAAAATGTCTGTATATGACAGGGTGGCACTCGCTAGCATAGTAACTCATGATTTTAAGGCACAGGTAGCCTAGAAACATGCTGATTTCACTCCAGAACTATGTCCTGTTTTAGCTGATTTATTTATTTTTTGGCCTAGTTTAGCTGATACATGGGACAGTCACTCAAAACCCTTTCCCATAAAAAGTGTTATTATAAGTCTAACAGTTAATAAAATGCAGTGTCCTATAACAGTTGATTGATAGGCTCTGTAAATGTCAGCCTATCATGTCCCAGATTACCTGACTTCACCTTAATCGTGCTGCTGAGGCTCGCATCTGATGAGGTACAGTAGGTTCAGTTTGCTGACATCATTCAGCTTTTTACTGGGCTTGTAACTAAATGTAATGCTTTTCTTCTGGGTCACTGGTCTGTTGGACAGCGACCGAGCTTTGGTCCCTTGCAGCTCTTTCTCTCCTGTGTTTGATAGGCTGTGCCCCTGCTTCTGGTAGGGTAGGTGAATGTGAGTTAGCGTTACTACTCATTTTAAGTGCAGGTCCTATCAGTAATTTCAATGTTTCTGTGCACTTTTGTCGACACCGTTCAGATTATGTACCACAGCGTGCGGCCCATTCCAGGTCGGCCACTGCTCACTGAGTGAACTGCTGTTGTGGCTCTATGTCTAGGGTCTTCTGGTTTTAATACTCTGTTCTCTTGGGGTTAACCCTTGGTTTATCCTGGATGTGCTGGTTTACCTCTCATTGTGGCTCTGGATCTATTGCAATCACATTCGTACCCCCCCCCCCCCCCCCCCCTTATTTATCTCCTTGACTTTATATAGAGATTTCCATAACGCCTGTCCCTTTGAGTTCTCTCATTTTCATTACATTTGTGATTTCATGTTTGTCTCCAGGTCAGCTGTGGTATGTGTGCATCTGTTCAAGCCGCAGTTGACTATTGTGGTGCTGGTCCATTCCAGTGCATTGCTGGGGAGGCTGAAGTGAAACACTGGCAGTCAGAACAGATAAGTGCTCTTCATACTAATCAAGTATCCATTGGTATTAATTGATTGCCCCACAAATTGCATGCTATCACTAACTGTTTTGTCCTTTTTTTGTTTTCAGTTGAGTTGGTGGGCTTGGCGACTGGCGGTCTGCTCCTGGGTGGTGGTGATGTGACGGATCAGGATCTCTCCCCTTTTCTGTTAGTCTCTGCCACCATAGTAAGCCCTAGTCCCATCCAGGACTGTCTCCTACTACAAAGGAGATGGTCCCAGATGGCTGACCCAGAAACAGCTGGGAGACAGCTTTTCTCACACTTTTGATGGAGGCGGGCAAACACACCAGACACACATGCAAAGCCAACTACTTAGTGAGCACCTTCAGTCTTTGCTCTTGTAAAAGTAAACAACTATGTTTGAAAACAATTCCAGTAAAGCACAAATCTCACCTTCACGTGGCTTGTCCAAGTTTATTTTGGTATCTCCTCATTCAGTTGCACCAAGCAGAAAGTGACTCAATACTGCCAACTAGTGGTCAGGAGAATACCATCTTGAATGGGTCCAGTGGCCCTGAGAACCGGACCACTGTTGGGCAGTATTGTGCAAATTGCTGCTTGGTGCACCAGAATGAGAACATGCCAAAATACACTCGACAAGCCACAAGATGAGATCTGTGCTTTTTTGGAAGTGTTCTGAAATATTATGATTGTCTTTACAGGAGAAAAGACTTTGTGGTGACTAAGTGGTTGATTTTGAGTATGACCATCTGGTTCGTTTGCCTGCCTCCATTTAAAATGTTGCCCAAAGTGGTCTCCCAGCTGTTTCTGGGAGAGCTATCTGGGGCTGTTTCCTTTGTAGTAAGACGGCAGGGCAAGTGTTCTGTCAAATTACCTACTTAACTGTCCTGTGTGTGCACACCAAGGTTGGGGTTAGCGGTGTTTCTCCTAGGTTTACAGCTTTGGGTGACCATGTAGAGACAGAAATAACATGATGTATAAATAACATTGGGCTATTTAGTTTATTTAATAAAAAAAACAAGGTATAGACCTGTTCTATAGGAAAGGTAACCTTAAATGACTGTTGTGATCTGGTGCTTTATAGAAAATAAAATTAACTTGACCTTCAAGGGGGGGCAGGGTGCCCCCCCCAATTTAGTGGTAGGGGAACCACTGGCTAAAAGCAAAGCAAAACAGGGAAAGGCCTTGATACCTGCTGCTGTTACGTGTGGCTGCCATGTCATAATTCACTGAATTCATTTGCCTATTTTTGCAGCACTTTGGTTTGTTACAGATCCAGAGCACTTCATGTAGGTAAAAACACGAATGTTTCTATGACACAGTATTTAAGACGATCTTGCCCTTACGTAGTTCTGTGTTACTTACTAGTGAAACAGTATTTTGCTGATTTACATTTTTAATTTACACATTTACAACACAGTGTTTGCTTCCAGTGTGTCTGCAGGGCTATGCAGCTACATGCTTGGTCTGTAGTGCTACTGGCCCTTTTCTGTGTTTTGGGAACTGTTGCACATTAGTTACACACTTGTGCTTTTGCAGCCAACATGGAGGTGACACTTTGTCATGTTAGAAACATTTTAAAGAGGGATTAATTGAGATTAATTCAACGTGTTAGCAACAGTAAAATATTGTGGTGTTAATGCTATTTCCTGTTGTGTGGTTTTGCAGTTACAACATCCAAAAACAGCACAGACCTCTAGTGTTTTCTACTCTGTGAAGTGGCCAAAACTTCTCCTGCAGTGGTGGGAAAACAATCTTGATGTATTTGAAACAATAATGTCATGACAAATAAAGATGAGTTCTCTGAATAATGTGTTCTCGTGTTTTCTTTTTGCTCTACCTCCTGAGCCATAAACGTAAATGGTCTTATATTTGTATAGCTTTCACACTACTTGGCCATTCACATATACACACACCCGCCACACCAAAGTCAGTGGTGTTAACCACTGAGCTATCCTGTGTGTTTAAATGTGTGTGTGGGTGTGTCTGAGCAGTCCTCACGATGTAGGAAAAACAAGTGGGGTGTGTGTGTGTGTTTGTAGGGTGTGTGTATGTGTTTAAACCATAAAAGCCAATATGTGTGTGCGTGTTTATGTGGGTGCATGTGTGTAAACCATAAAAGCCAACGTGTGTGTAAATGTGCCAACGTGTGTGTATGTGTGTAAATGTGCGTGTATGTGTGTAAACCATAAAAGCCAATATGTGTGTGCGTGTGTATGTGTGTAAACGTGCGTGCATGTGTGTAAACCATAAAAGTCAATATGTGTGTGCGTGTGCGTATGTGTGTAAACGTGCATGCATGTGTGTAAACCATAAAAGCCAACATGTGGGTGCGTGTGCATGTGTGTAAATGTGTGTGTATGTGTGTAAACGTGCGTGCATGTGTGTAAGCCATAAAAGCCAACATGTGGGTGCGTGTGTATGTGTGTAAATGTGTGTGTATGTGTGTAAACGTGCGTGCATGTGTGTAAGCCATAAAAGCCAACATGTGGGTGCGTGTGTATGTGTGTAAATGTGTGTGTATGTGTGTAAACGTGCGTGCATGTGTGTAAACCATAAAAGCCAACATGTGGGTGCGTGTGTATGTGTGTAAACGTGCATGCATGTGTGTAAGCCATAAAAGCCAATATGTGTGTGCGTGTGTGGGGGGGGGGTGAGTGCGTGTAAATGTGTGTAAACCATAAAAACCGGTATGCATGTATGTGTGGCCTTGATTTAAGACAGCTAATTGATTAATAGTTAAATTATTTATTTATTTATATTTATATATATATATATATATAGAGAGAGAGAGAGAGCGAGAGAGAGAGAGAGAAATAAATAAATAAATAAATGCAAATATGCACACACATACATGCACACACAGGCTGGGTAGCTCAGTGGTTGGTATCCCTGACTTTGGTACAGAAGGTCAAGGGTTCACTCCACAGTCAGGGTGCCCTTTGTGCTACCTTGCGTACTTCATTGGTATAACATTACATAGAAAGGTGTTCCTAATATTTTGACCCTCTTCTGTATAGACACCTCAGAATATAATGTAGTCTAGTACAACACCACCTTTAACCATGACCTCAATAATAAACTTAGAATTGAATTCATACAGTTATGACAATTTCACCCAAAACAAACATTTTGAGCTTCATAAACACAGATGTTAAGGGAGAGGTGTTGCATTGAAGTGCACACAATTGTACAGGTGGAACTAGTACAGTGGCAGGCAAGTTTGTAATTTTTGTAATTAGTACTTTTTAAAATGGAATCATATCTCCAGGCTCTGTTATTTCAAAGCTGTGTGACCTAATGTTTAGGCTAGTTAAATTTGATACTTTCCCAGGAGTGAAATTCTTCTGGCTGACATTACTACAACAATTAAAATTTCACCAGCTCCTGCCACAAATAGGAGGGAAGATGTGCAAACACACAAACCTCTCACACAATGCAAACCATCTCAGGTTGAAATAAATTATAAAAAGGCATGATAAGTGATGGAAAGGAACAATGTGAAAGGAATTGTCTGGAGAAAAAAAAACTGCAAACTGAAAACTGAGAGGTTCAAAGGAGGGGGTGGGGGTTTTGTCTCAATCTCATGCAATGTGGAGATGGTCCTGCTCATGTCAGGGAGGAGGCGAAGCAGCAGCAGACATTTTGCTTTCTACATGAAAGCAAAACTTAAACTGAGGCATGGTTTGCTTAATATCTGAAAGGTATAATAAATAAAACAAACTCCCCTCATCATAACAATATCCAAAGGACATAGTTATGATCCAAACCCCACGTAAAGGTTGCTAAGTCATGCAGAATCGTTAACTTGCATACCTTGGCTCATTCTATTCATCCTTGTTGCACTTCAGAAAGAGAAGTAATCTACTGTAAGTAGTCATTACAGTCAAACAATTGACAAATCACTACCAGTCAAACTAGAGCTTGTGTATTATAACTATACCATACATCTTAATTTAAGATGCATTGAGGGCTTATCTACAGTTTGATAATTCTCGTAACAAATCTGCATGCTTTTAGAATGTCACAATTTAAAAATTGAGTCACTTTATTCTTCCAGGTGAAAATGGAAATTCAAATTGTATATTTTTGGGAGGAAAATGAGAATTAGTTTGTAGGTGAAAATCTTTCACCAAATTTGAACTAATCTTACACGAATAATAGACAGGACAGGAAATAAGAGCCTGTTAAAGAGGGCTACCAACACGGACATGCAATAAAGCTGTACAGATGTACCATGAATAACAAAATATCAACACTGCTAATGAAGGATGGTCTTATGAGTAACAGCGTACAAGTAAAGTTAGCCAAATATACTCTATAATCAATATGAGCCACAATAGGCAGATCACAATACACTGCATTCATGATCAAGACAATGGTCATGTGTGCTAAATGTGCACAAATAACCAATACACAACAGTTAGACAGCTGAATTTTAAGACAGATACAACAGGTAGACCAAACAACATACTGAATGTGCTGTGTTGTATTATGTCACTTCATTTGGTTTATTGTAATCTTGTTTCCAACCACAAAGTCTGTGCCATCCAAACAAGTGGTTTTATTGTTTATAGCGCCACAGGCTTAATTTGTAAGAAAAGAGTCTCCACAGACTTTGCGTATAATAAATGAGCCCAGCTTTCCACAAAGTGAGTTTACCAGTCAATGTCATGTAATGATTGCTGTGATGTGAGAGCGAAGGCCACATGCAGATGATTATGAAGAAAATGCACAAACACCGGGCATGGATGCAGAGCACAAATCACACAGGCACACAATCAGTGCATGTGTCACCACAACCTGAACACAAACACACACCTATAAAATACAGGTCAATATAAAACACTAAGCATGCAGACTAACATGCTACAGGACATGTTAGTGCACATACTTATGTTTGTCCTGGGTCTTGCTGCTGCGGTTCTGCCGGCTTGAGGGTGGGATGGAGTGGACGGAGGAGCTCTTTTTGCTGGAGGAATGAGAGGAGTGGGAGGAGTGGGACAAGCTTGTCCGGGACTGGCCTGCGTTGTGGTCGAACTGCATGAGGCAGAAGATCAGGTCTGTGGGCACCAGCTCAAACTCGTACGGTGGGTTTGTGATCACATATCTGCTCAGATAACAAATGTTATAGAAAAGTTCAAACTTTGACAATCCTTCTGGAGAGAACAGGATATTATGAAAGAAAAATAATATATATTAAATACTGAAAAAATGGGGGTTTGTTTACTTAACTGACAACTTCATCGCTAGAACATTTAAAGAACCAATATCAATAAATCTATGAAATAAAATAGATTAAACCTTTAAGCAATATCTTGACTTGCGCTATTATATAATTTATATTTTATTGCAGTTATTGTATATAATTTGGCCTTTTAATTGTGCTTAAAGGAATTTCTCCCCTACCTCATTTGGTTTTATGATTTATGTTAAGCGCTATGATTAGTCACGTACACTACTGTATATTAAATCCTATAACACTGATTCAAAATATTATTTTGGCACAGAGTGAAGATGTCTAGTGTACCGTTTTGTACACTGGCTCGGTGTAGTGAGATGGGCATCTCTTAATCTGTAGATTCCAAAACACAGCATGTTGTATGTCTTCAGCGCTTTACAGAATAAATCCCCGTAGCAGCCGCCATCCTGATGAGCAACAGAACAAAGACACCATCAGTGTGCGTTAGGTCTGCCTGATGATCTGGCTCTATGGCATAAATATAAGTTGCAAATTCAATGTTCTGCACTGCTCAGGGTATTTTGCTTGCAAGTGAATACCAACTGTTGGCAATGCAGACCATAACAATCAGCAGTGTTTTCACAATACATTATAATTCATCCAAAAAAAAAATAAAAATTACTTCAGTATAAACCTGGAATTTCTTTGGTTTCTTTGATGTTCATTGTTCTCTCCAAAGCACTCTTCCTTCTCCACCCACTAAGGCCTGGCTTTGCGTGATCGCTGTTCTTCACATCAGATTAAGGACCGCAAGGAGCGGAGGCAGCCAGATGTGTGCTGCTGGGTAGTTTCAAAACATGTTATCTCCACCTAAACAGCCACTTACCCCCAAGTCTGCAAATGGCCCGTCATAGAGGGCTAGCTGGGCGACGCGACACCTGTCTCTGTTGGCCAGTGTCTGCGGTGTGCTGTAGCCGCCTCTGAGAGCGTTCTCTTCAGCCAACAGACCCTCCAGCTCTGGTGTGGCTCCTCCTGTGACTAGCGTTCGAATCAGCGTGAGGATATTATCGTTGAAGTATGTCTGGGGAGATGACAGAAGGGATATCTGTAAGCAGATGCCAGTGGAGTCACAAACAGGGAGGTGGGAAGAAAACACAGCCCCTGTTGTGACTGGGAGATGAAGAGACTGGTCATGGAAGACTAGAGAAGACTGTCTCTTGTGCACCGTTTCTATTTTAAACTGCTTTAGAGGCTTGGTTCATCAAATGACAACTTATTTTCTCACATATCTTTAGTGTTATCTTGCCACACAGTTTTGGTTTTATTCACTAACATTATAAATATTTGGGGTTTCTGCTTAAACAATACAAAGGAGGTGAGTGGAAAATGTGATGTTCACAGTACTTATAAATGATATTTAAAATTCAACAGCAATGTGTCTAACTACTTCATATACAAAAGTCCCTATGAAAACTGTTGACAACACGCTTTTTACATTATTTATTCTGGAAAAAGTTATTGCACACTTTAAAATGACATTTTAAGTACAACAAGTGAAATCACACTCACCTGCCTTGTTTTCGGGTGGAAGCAGAAATCTAAGACCTGAACAAAACTATTTGCATGACTAGATACAGTACCACTATACTGTATATAAAAGTGTCACTAATATACAACTAGAAAATTGCATTTTCTGAAGAAAATGCATATGGATGCTGATTGCTGAAAGATTGCCCTGAACATGCTGAACATTTTGACACCTGAATGCTTTTTGCTAGCTGAAAGTGTGCTGAAATTGGAATTTCCCTATTCACTTGAATGGGGCAAGATTTTCAAAATAAAGCTAAATATTTCAAAAAGTATAAGGTTTATAAAAATCCTGAAGAGAAGTATGAATGTCCTTGAAGAGCTGAACATTTTGATAGCTGAAATTATGCTAAAGTTGAATTTTCCCATTCATTTGAATGGGGCAAGATTTTCAAAATAAAGCTAAATATTTCAAAAGTATGAAGTTTGGAAAACTTCTGAAGAAAAGCATGAATGCCCTTGAAGAGCTGAACATTTGGATAGCTGAAATAGCTGAATGTTTGCTGAAGTAAAATTTTCCCATTCATTTGAATGGGGCATGATTTTCAAAATAAAGCTGAATATTTAAAGTGTATGAAGTTTTGAAAAATTCTGAATAGTACTATGAATGTCCTTGAAGAGCTGAACATTTTGATACCTGAATGGCTTTTCTAGCTGAAAGTATGCTGAAGTAGTTAAGCGCCAAAAAACGTACGGACAATAATTGGAAAACATAGTATGGATGCTGAATCAGCATCCATACAATTAAATGTGCCAAAGAATGGGAGCTCAGTATAAAAGCTAAATGACATTTAACAATTATTTGGCCCCAAATGGGGGGGTGTCAGGCCATGTCATCATTAGTCTTCAGAGCCCCACAATAACACCATTCCTAACCTACCCTTAAAACAAAACATCCCTGAATCCTATCCTTACCCATGCAAAAAGCATGTAGTATGTGGCATGAAACAGTATCTGCACTGTATTTGCTCAGGTTAAACAGCAGCTTGGTGGGCAATCACCTCAGCTGTGGTAAAAGACCAAACTGCAGGCACATACCTAAACTTCTGACTGGAATTGCCTTCTCGTCTATATAAAACCTTTTATCTGAATGCACACCTTTTAATATTGAAATAGTCCTGGATTCCTCTGGCTTAACCTTCATTCTAACCCACTTTAAATTAGCATTCCATATGTCCAATAGTCCAATAATATATAGTATTGTAAGCTGATCCACCAACTCTTTGCTTATTAACTTGAAGAGATTAAATAAATAATTAAATGAAAATCAGCAGATTTGAGAGAAATATGGTCGCTGGCAGTTTGATAATCATAGTACTTAGTACATAGCAGGATCATCATGTTAAATAAACAGACACACTCCAACACAGCACTACTCTTTCCTCTGTGAAAACTACTCTACACACTGTACATTGTCTGCTTTTCCTCCTGAAACAACAATTTGACTGCGCTCCGCAGGTGTCAGGTTCTCTTGTCCTTCAAGCCATTCAGGACGTGCTTTTGCTGCGTGTGAAGACAGGCGATGTCACTCGGCAGCCAGGCCGGAGTGGCAGCTCCTCTCCCCGGGCCCCTGACAGGCCTGCAGAGTCTCATGATGGATGAGCACTGTCCATTAGCTGGCTTCACCTTTGACCAATGCCAGACTACAGCTGATGCCTGCTCTACTCCCTGCTCAGCTCAGCTATGTGTGCCCTTGTAACCCCACTTCACCAAGAAGGCTGCTGGAATTAAGCCATCACAACACCAAAGGGAAAAACACAGTTGGTACTGAAAGGGTGGGGGAGTTGGAATGAGGTGAAGAAGAGGAGGACTTTTTCCCTACCTCCTCCTTTATTCTTATCTCCAGTGCAGGGATGACATTGTCAAAAGTTGAAAGAAGCTTGTGCCACTGCATCAAGCCAACCTTCAGCACTTATTTTGTTAAAAGGTCTAAAAAGGCTTGAAAACTGAATATTTAAAATGAGAAGTGATGACAGTGGGGCTGGCAGGCATGTGGGATCAATGTACTGTACCACTTCATTTACCAAGTACCGCCTACTTGAAATGCCAGAACTAACTTACAATTAATCTAAACTCATTTTTTTTCTACTAGGGGAGCATTTTAAATTTAAACCAGTTGTAAAGTCTGTCTAAAGTCTGATATTATCTGTTCTTTAATGTTAATTCTGACAAAATTGTGAAAATTTGTTTTTGTTATCATGAAGTTGAGTATTTGGAAATTTTCCAACTGAATGTGAAATACTATAACAGAAATATTTATGACGACCAACAAAGCAAAAGAAAACACATGTTGGGGTTACTACCTTCTAAAGTTTTATCAGGTCCATCTTTCCTGTCTGAATCACTTCAAAGTTACTCAGCTCTTTTTCTCATCCTGCAGTTTCTACTAGTGCAACAACATGCAATTGTTACCCAGTGGGCACAGCATCTCCATGAAAAACCTCTCTTTACTTTCTCTTTCTGAAATTCTGAATATCACTCTGTATATTACAGCACACAGAAAATTTAAAAGGATTCTCTAACCAAGTAATAATGAGGAAATCAAACCTATAAAATGTGTAGTAACATGTTGAATGTTGAAAAGTGGTTTTGAAAAAACAGTCCAACACAGCAAGCCTACAGTGTGTTTGAGAACTCACCGCGCTCATCAGGGAGTCGAGCACACTGACAGCGAAGGCGGTGCCGCAGGCAAAGGGCTGAGTGAGGTACAGCTCTGTGTCTGGATCATCATCATCATCTTGGTCCAGGAACTGAACATTTGAGTCGTTCACTGCAAGAGGGGAAACACAGCTGAGTTAGAGACAGGCAATGTGAGGAAGTATGAGCCAAAGACACATACACCAGCACACCTGAGAGTTCAGAGACAAGTTTTTTTTTGTTTGTTTGATTATTTAACACATGAAATATGTCAGGGTAATGTAACAGAAAAGCTTCAGGAATAAAGGTTTTGATCCAGGGTTTGCGTATGCGATAACATTAAATGCACATTATATCTCACTTCTACAATTTGTGCAGCCACACTTATTTTTAACCACAAGATTCAACATAAAACTTCTGTTAGAAACAATTCATATGGTTTTGACTTGACTCTAAAATACTGTCGACTAAACTACGTTTCAGTCAGGTTCACATACTATATAACTGTTTGGAAGGTTTAAAAGGGGTTTTTGATTTTTTGAACATTTTATATATAAACCCACTGTGTATCACATGCAGGGTGAATTTCATACATTTAGACAAATCACAGCTTTAGGAGAAAATACTGAGTTGTATTATGCATACACAGTGATAACCATTGTCGAAGTCCCCAGTCTCGATTCAGTCATATCAATTCTGCAGCATCTCAACAGCCATTGTATCTTTTACTGCAACACAAAAGTACATATGTACTCTATTCTCACATACACAAACATTTTCAGGCAATAGATAGTGACCATCCTGTTGACTGAAAAGCCTGAGTAAACTATGAATGCTTAGGAAACCACCATATACAATAGGTCTCTCTTGATGTATCCATTAAATATGGTAAAAAGTGAGACTTCAACAATGGCTACTATGTCACATGACAAAACCACGCACTTATAAAATCATGCTGTTTTGGACAGTTTTGCTTGATGAATGTGTTTCTCACATCATCATCTTTAGAGTAATACATCACAAAGATTTCCATGTGCCCTGAAAGTCAAAATAAAGCCAGGCACGCACTTTTTTTTAATCTTTATGATTAAAAATGCATCAGATCTGCTAAATGAACCAACATTATAGAAATAAACATAATCCCAAAATGAAATAAGTATATTTTTTGTGTCTCACGTGCGGCATAATTGCTAGAATAAAAACAACAAGTACTCCATAGGCTGTGTGTCTTTTTCTTTTGTATTTCTAGCTGCAGCAGTGGGCAGTGCAGGATCCTTGAACTAACGTTACTTAAGAAAAGAGCATCGCAAGTTTTTGTTTGACTCCTCCAATATCTGAGTCTCGGAGATATGGTCTGCAGGAGGAAAAAAAGAAACTGGAAAATAAATTCTAAAATAAATAAATATCTTAAAAGATGGTTTTGATCTCAAGGGGTTTTTTTTGGTTTTGTTTTTGAGATCTGATTTCTTCGTAGGCTTCCTGTATGCTGTGGAACAGAAATGTCAGTCAAAGAGACAAGGGTCTGATGCAAACAGGCCGGGGCCTAAAATGTGAACTGGGTGGTGTGTGTGTGTGTTTGGAGGAGAAGGGGAGTTCTGGTGAGGGGCGGGTGGGAGTTGCTATGAAAACAGCCACAAGGACAGACTGAGCATGATCAAAGGCCTAGTGATGCTCTGCAAACGCAACTGGAGGAAAAAAAAATACTCCAAAAGAAAAGAAAAGAAAAAAAAATCATTAGAAAGGGGCCAAAACAAGACAGTCAATTTCAACCAGAACGAAGAATAAAAATGTGTTCAAAGTGAAGCCATGGGAGCAGCGAGGGCCTTGACTGCAGCCAGATAAATCAAGACAAGCTGATGAGGAGAAGAGCGGCGGCGTGAGGGAGTGAACGGCAGCAGAGGACAAAGGCTTAGCTTACCCAGCTCTGTTATCATTTGTATGTTGGTTCCACTTTTGTTTTCCTGACTGAGTGAAACCAGTGGCAGTAGTTTGCCAGGTTTAGCTAATGATGATGAGACAGTGTGGAGAAGGGGGGGGGGAATGGCGTCATTATTGAAACAGTTTTAAAGACTGCAATAAAGGCATTTTGCTGTCTCTCAGTGCTTGTGTCAACTCCAGAGTTTCTCTGAGACATTCATGGTTATCCAGTGTCTAAAAGCAAAGCACCATGAATCAGAGTCCACACTAGATACAGTATAAATCCACAGCTGTCGTGGTGCCATACCACTACAACGGCAATAATCTATTTCATGGTAAACTGATGAAAGGGATAGACAAGGCCTTATCCAGAAACACACCTAGTTCACAGGTGATGCAAACAAAATTGATCATGTAACTCAGATGAGTCCCGTGTTTGTATTTCAAATTGTCTTTAATCTGCTCCTGGTGCCGTAAACAGAACATTACAGAATATGGTTCCAGTGAGCCATAGAGCCACTCGCTTCTCTTTATGCCTTTTCTCCTTTGACTGAAGGACAGTGCTATCACATCCGCATGTAGTGTTGCTGTAGCTGTGAAATTAGCTGTAGGAGCAAGCAGAGGCACAACACTGGAGTCCAAGTCCAAGACAAAAACCATTAACTCCAACAAGGATAGCATCTAGTTTTGATGATTACATCTGAGGTCAGCATTCAAATGGGAGAACCTCTTTGCAGATACTGGCTGGCCAGGCTATAAGTAATATTAGGTAGCTCCTTCCCCTTCCTGGCATTTTCTTAGCTGGCCTCATGCTCCATTGCTCCCTAATTGGGTCAGGGGAGACAGAGTAGCCAGTCTCTGGTGCTTTAGAAGGCCCCTCAGAGATGTGAAAGTTTCATGAGTCCCCACCACCAGTGGGAATACAGCCACTGCCATTGTTATTAATAAATGGACCCATTTTGCAACCAAGGCAGGTTTTTTTTTCCTTCTGCCTTTATATTCTCTTTTTCTCCCTCTCTCACCCTCTCCATCAGGCTGAGTTTCCCTTGTGCATTAATGGACAAATTGTAGGAGATATCCAGTAGCTGTAGTCCTAAAAATGCCCATCTGACATCAAGTTACAGCAGTCCACACTGTCTATAGAGCAAAGATTTTCAGTTACAGCTAACATGATCACCCCTTGACAAAAACTAGTCAAATCCAATGATGCACATATAAATATGAACTTGAGGTGTGACACCATGAATGCGAACAAAAATTCCACACCAAGTCCATTTGACCTCAAATGAGTTGGAACTTTTAGTAGCAGCATGATGTTTAAAGTTTTGATTATCAGCTCTGTATGTCTGAAAATGAATAATGAGTTGATCTGAGATCACTGAGCAAGGAGTGCAACATCTGTATTTGAAGTTGATGGAAACAGCTCACCTAGTTCTGTGATAATGGGGATGTTGGATCCAGTGGTGACGGAAGCCTGGCGTACAAAGCCATGTACGGGACTGCTGTCTGGAGATGACCTGTCCATTCCAGGAGGTGTGAAACCTGAACACAGGAAAAGAGTCAAAGAGAGCTCATCTGGCCTACAAAAGCAGAGGAGTATCTACAGGAGTAGTGACGCTGTTTAAAATTTTCAGCTTGGACTGCAAACTGTGGAACAGAAAATCATTGCTGCAGAAGACACATAATACCTAAAAATACTGATACTGCATCTGGTTTGTGCCTTTGGCTAATCTTCAGGGAAATTACAGCATGCACCAACAAAATGCTCTTTCAGTTTTCTTGTCCTTTTACTGCAACTAATAATGTTTTATACCTAGTTAAAGATAAAATTTAACTGGTTTGCTTTCTCTACATGTCTGCCTGTATAATTCTGCCTATACTCTACATGTTGAAATCAATTTAATAAAATTATTTACAATCTAATACATTTAAATGCATTATTTAAAGGAAGCTGTGATGGAATTTACTGAGATCTGGTTGAAGCTATTTAGCTTTAGTAGGACTTCAGCCAGGTTTTTTCTCAAATGATGACTGGATTTAGCTACTGCTTCATTTTGCAATATAAAAGAAATAACTGAATCAAACCTAATATTTTCCATGAGGACAGCTTCAGAACAATCAAGATATTTCAAAGCAGCATGACCTAGCTTTAACTTTAGTTCTTGTTTCAGCTATCGAGTTGGCCATTTGTCTTGGAGGCAGCGCACAACCCACAGATTACACAGCTTATTACAGTTTGGTTTTTAGCACCATGTTGTAGTCCGCTCACTGCAAATTTGACCTGCTGCTTCTCAGAAAGGATACATTTCTATGGCAATAATAAGGATAAATAATGAAACTTAGCTTTTGTTGCTTGTATTTTGCCTTTGCAGGGCAGGAAGGTTTATTGGATTAAATCCAAGAAAACACCTGCATGACTCATAACTGTGTTTTACTATAGAAGCATCATAACCATGAGGACATGACCTGGAACTCTGTTTCAGTACTACTATACATACTGCATGTCAGCATACCCAGCATGACATTGTTGATGTGCATTTTCTGTCATTCAAATATGTGGACTGACAGAAAAAAGGAAGGGGAGAAGGCTAAGTGAACAAGGAGCTGGTTTAAAAACTGCAATATGGATACTGAGCTTTTTAGGGGTCAGCTAAGACATATTTAGCATTCACATCCCTCTATCAACGGGCACACATAAATTTTATATGTTGTTCATTTTGTCACGATAAAATTGGTGAAGTGGATCCTGAAAACCTTTCATCGGAAATGGTGTGGCTCAGAACCACAAAATACAAGTGCAACTGACAGGAGTATGAATTCACATGACTTCACATTTTTGCATTTCCTCAAAGTGACAAGTAAACACCTTAAATCTGTAATGCTACTATATGCATAATGCATCAACTGTGTTTTGACATCCATCATTTAGTGCTGACTACAGCAAAATGCCAGCTTACAGTGCCACCACCAAGGAAACACAATGCAGGAAATATATTCAGGTCACAAAGTTTTAAAAGGATTGCAAATCCTCCGTGTGTGCATGTGTGTGTGCCTTTTCTGTCAAGAAACTCAATGAGCTGCTTACATTACAAAAGAGATATTCCAGCCTTTTGCAAGAGAAAAGACACCAAATAGTTTAGTTCACAGCAGGAAGCACAAACTGAACTGAAGCATGGATAATCATAACTCTTGTTATACCAATTATTGAACTTGGAAATAGCAGTGTTGACACTCTGAGTCAAGCAGGGAGCGCAAGCTCAGGCAGTGCAAACATCATTTTGTCGATGTCCATAAAGGATGATGTTTACTCCACTGGAGAGTGACAGCAAGTGTTTGGATACTGCTCCTAAAACACTGCTCTTATTGTAATATAGTGAACATGAAGACTGTATGGAGCTGTAGAAGAACAGTTTAGTGCATACAGCAGAAAATGATTGTTGGTGAGGCCTACTGTTGAGCTGCTTTCAAAACCTGTTAGATTACCAGCAGCTCAAAAGTTGCAGTGTGGGGTGGTAAGCTCCAAACAGAGAGCTGTATGTCTTTCTAAGACAGAACCAGGGTACTGCAAACCCTGAAGGTGTAACATGTCTAGTTCCCTGATCGTCCTAATCTTCTTAAAGTGAAATGTGACAGCTTCGGCTTGCTGTTGTTGGCAGTGCCTGTATGTTTGCTTTTGCAGGTGATAGGTATGTGGACCATTGTTTGGGTTATAAGAAGCATCTGGGCCTGATGCTAATGAGCAGCTAATAAGTGACCGATCACACCCAATCTGTTACCTAACACAACACTTCCTGATTACTGACTCACACATCTCATATTGTTTTCCTTATTTTGAGAGTAATTCTATTCAGTTTTCTTATTAAATTGATGTTTGTAAACTTAAAACTGTTATTTGTCATGGCATTCACATCTATGACAAATGAAATACTCTTGTCTACAATTAAATATTACATTATTGAGTTAAAAACAATAATTTTGCTGTTTGGATCATCTTAATGAAGTGTAAATTGAATTATTGCTGTTTTCTCCATTTGAATTTCATAATTGGTATACATTGTAACATTTCATAAATTAAATCATCACTGACCAAAATACAGAAGCCAGAGTTTGAAAAGCAGCATGATCACACACACTGTCTCCTCTTCTGGGTCTTGCTACTGTGAGGCTGTAACCTTGTCTGTTCAGCTAGAATGTACAATGAGTGAGATCTGGGTTACATACCCTCTTTATCCCTGCAGCCCCCCAGGCACAGCTATGCTCTGTGGTTGACTACATGCTACAGCAGCTGTGAGAAGCTCTCCCCCAGGAAAGCGTATGTTTATTTATTTATTTGCATCCTCTTGTTTTAAATTACACAGACAGCATCTGAATGGAAGCATCGCTCAGAGGAAGAAATCCCCAACGCAATACCTATGATACAGTAGCAATGTCTGGGTATGTGCGAGTGTTTCCTTGTGCATGCATGATTGCATGTCACTGTGCTATATATGTGTGTTTTCTAAAGTGAAGTATTTATCACTGAAATGGGTGGTTGATGTAAGACCCAATTATTGATGACAACAGACTCCATCCATTGACCCTGGGAGAGGATATAGGCTAGTGGGCTTCCATATTGAGGTGGCTTTCTGTGACTACAGATCCCCAGAGTAGCATGCTCTCAGATTTACCCCTGCTTATTGTTCCTCGGTGGCACTGCTATCGATAGCACATCACTCATTCAAGTCTGGAGAAATAACAGCATTGGCATTCTCCTAAAACATGTGGAAGTGCTCTGCACTAAAAAAATAATGGCCTCTTGGACCTTCAACTTTGATTTGTATTTACAACAGTCACTGTGGTGGCACTAAATATTACTAAGCCCAAGGCATGTCATCCCTTTCAGGCTAATCATAAACCGAGGATTACTTGTTTATGGATGTGCATGGATAAATTGCACTGGCATGAATGTCTGTGTGTGTGTTATATGCACACACATATTCAAATATGAAGGTGCATGTGTTGCTGTTGTGTTGTGACTAATGAGGAGCAGCTGAATTGGCCTGCCTGGTGATTTGTACTAGCTGCTTAATGATGATGAGGCCTGATGGGATGCCAGGTTCATGTGTTTGTCTGCAAACATCAACAATCTGTTCCAGACGATCTGCCAGACACCAGATCACGGGGAACAACATCAAATGACACAGTCATGTTGATTACATCATTAAAAAGTATTATCAAGGAGGTTTAGCAGCATGTAATTACCAGGGACAAGGCTGAAATCATCAGAAAATTATGTGGAGTAAACACTCTTCAAAGGCTTCATGAGGCAATCAGCAAAATGTTTTGTGTGCACATATCTTCGGGAATTACAGTAAATTCAGTTTATAGATGACACGACTAACTTGCAGAATATTTCAATTAAGAGCACTTAGCAGACTTTGTGCTTGACAAACTACAGCCTGTGTGGTCTTTTTCCGTCTTTGACTACTGTCTTCCCTCCCTGCCACAACCTGTCCCCTTTGGGCACCACTGTGCATGGACTCTAATAGGACAGTCCTTACCTTGGGAATTAGCCTGTAAGACCCCGATGCTGTCATCAAACTGCATAGATTTGATGTTCAGTGATGCCAAGATGCATTCCTTATCCTGGAGTGAAGCATCTTCAATATTGTTCTGATTGGCTGACAGTATTACGCACATGTCGCAGAGGTTGATGTTGACAGCCCTTAAATCTGCCCGACTTAATGGTGTACCCTTCAGGGAAAGAGCAAGAGAGACAAGAGAGAGAAAGTAAAACAGAGAACAGACAGACATGGGGGAGAGAAAAACAAATTTAAGAAGTGAGCAGCGTGGAGCTGTGGGAAATTAGTTAGCAAGTATTCTTGTTTTGAGGCAATGACACTCCACTGATCTAACTGGGCACTGGAGAATCAGAGACATGGACTAATCTAAAAGCTGTGTTTGGGATTCTTCCCTGATCACCAGTCAAGCCAGGGCTAACAAGCTCTAAGGCAGCAAGCCACCCCATCTGTGATGGGCTCTGAATATGCAGGATGTGTCACTACTCTGGATGAAGGAAGGCTGACTAAGCTCTCATGGAGTCATCATTCAACTGGATGATCAAATCAAACTGACACACCCTCTCAAGATTTCCAGTGTGCATGTAACTCAAGGTGTCAATGAGTCATTGGCTAAATAGAGATTACACTCACAGGTAAGATGGAGAGCTTGGGGAAGTTGTGTAAAGTTTCCCACTCTCTCCGCAGGTAATCCAGAGAGCCCACAAAAACTATAGGCTTTAGCTCATGATAATGGAAGTTGCTGGCTCTTAAAGGCATCACCAAGTTTCGCAGCCCCACTAAAGCGGACGTGACATCCCCAAATATACAGACCACTACATGGCCACTCAGCACGGTCATAGAAGCTTCACTTCGAGTCTGCAGGGAACAAAAGGATAGAGGGAAGAGGGAGAAGAGCAAAAAGAAAAGGATGAGGAGGAGCATAATGAGAGAGAGAGAGAGGAAGAGGCACACAGAGACAAACACAGAGTTACAGAACAGAAATCAGTGCCGTTAATAGAAAACTGAATAATATGCATGAGGTAACAAATTCTAGGTTTATCAGTGTTTATCACTGCTATAAACGCACACAAAATAGTTTGTTAGTCAAGTATTTAGTTGAATTATATACAGTATTTAGTCATCATTAAAGCTTTCTACTTGCAGGCTGGAACATTTACATAAAATAAGTTTGCTTAACTACTATTCCGTTTATAAGTAGCTTATTAGATAATCAGAAATTCTGCAGAACAAAAGTAAAACATGATCTTTTTCAAAGGTCAAAAAATGCAGTTTGTAAGATTTTAGGGACATACAATACGCATGACTAAGACTATATGTATTAATCTAGGTATAAATAAACAAAGCTCCTCTTCTGTATATAAAGCTCCAGTTGGGAAAAAAACAACTATGCAATGCTCTGCTTTCAAGATCTGTCACCAGTCACAGCAACTTGATGTGTGTTTCACTGCAGGTAAACTAAATGTTTCTATGATCCCAACTGGTTTGAAACTAAAACTGTCGTCGTTTATTGGATTCACAAGGTAAAACTCAGAGAGCCAAATTGGTGCATACGTTAAGCTGGTTGAATGATCTGGTGGATTAAACAGTACCAATTGCTGGTTATCCAGAATATTTTTTGGTGATCCAACTCATGCAGGAACATCCTTCATCCTCATGTGAACCAATAATTAATAAGAGTAACATGGGCACTGGTGCAACAAAAAAACAACAACAGATATGCTTACATGGAGTAGGTTAATTAAAGTAAATGATATACAAATGGTTTAGGTGACAGCACCTTCTATTTTACTTCAATAGGTTTAACCCTGCCTAAACAAATTACACACTAAACTAAATGCTCACAAACTGCCTTGTAAAAAAAACATCAGAGCAAACCCATGCATGGTATGTTGAAATGCTGTTGACAGATTCTTGATGGATAAACAAATAAAACAATAAACTCACCTTGAAACAACAGAGAGGCAGTGAGAGAAATTTCACAACATATTATTATTGTGGCACTACAATATTCAGGGGACACCTCTGCACTGGAGACTGCTTGCTTATTTATTTATTTGCATATTCTATTATACTATAGAGAGCTGCAGTGACAAAGTTCTTGTCGCACTCACCAGGATGACTTTTTCGATGTCCTTTGATGGGGACCAGTGAAACATCCCTGTTGAGTCATACCTCTTGACGTTCATGTCCATGTTCTCAATTTGTTCATTGCCAGGAATTAGAAGGGGATCATGTCGACTGAGAAAACAGAATAAACAGATTTGTAATAGGCCGTGTTTCACAATGACTGCAACCTTGTGAATGATGCGATAACATGAATAATTGGAAAAACCAACCGGGGTTTGTTGAGTTCTATTCCACCTATTCATACAACATATTAAAAGTCCATTCCATCCTCAAAAGGTTTAAGTTTTTACTGCACTACATATTGTACTGCAAGTTCATTAACCACAGTATTCCTTCTTGTCTTTTTTTATTCATCAAAAAACTGCTGCTCGCAGCGTGTCAGATGAAAATAGCATGACTTGAGTGCTACTGACTGAATGGCATGACAACACAAGGCCAATTACCAGCTTTTACCCTCTCTTCCACTTCCTTATGCCATGCAGCGCAAATAGTAAAAGCTCCGACAGGCCCACACTTTAAATATTTCAGGAATTTGCCCAATCACATTTTGCTTTCCCAACTGATGGTCATTAATGTTTCAACAGCATGTCACAACCAAACAGGCTAATCCACAGCAGTGGGCTGCTGAGTTTTATCCAGTGTAACACTGACCATGAAAGGGCTCCTGTCAGTCCTGTTATACCACCTCTTGTTCTTGCACTTATCCTACTAGACGTGTTCTCACAAGCTCCTCTAAAGGGAAACCAGAAAATTTCATCCTAAACACTTAGTCCTGGTAAACTGCAAAAATTTAGTGCTGTTGCTCAATAAACATTGCAAATGTAAATCATTTACAATTCTACCCAAATAATACAATCTTAGGTTAAAGCAGCACTATACAGAATCCAAAAACAGGGAACTGCAGAAAGACAGGCATTTGAGTAATATGGGAGAAACATCTCAAGAATTTGACATACATCTCTCTCAGTATCACTCTCTCTATCCTCTATCAACACTGTCATTCACTGACAAGGCTCTGATGTTGTCTCTTCCTTCAGCCTCAGTGTGCATTTGGGTTGCATGCCATCACAGGAGAAGAAAAAGTGAAAATAAAAAAAAAGAAAAAAAAAGCTGTCAATTAGCTACCCTCTCTCTCTACTCTCTTTCCTCTATCAGTTAGTGCAGGTGATAATAACACTGACAGCATTTAGTGCTTTTACACTCAGCCTGAATCTTTCATCCAGAGCCGCGTGTTGCGCCAATCAACTCCACGGAGCCCCCATCACTTCAATCTGCTCCGCTCTGCTCGCCTCCACAGAGGGGGCTGACTGGCGCGTGCAGGCGGGCTGCCGCTCCACCTCTCTCTGCCAAGACAGCTATCTTTCACCAAGTTGTCAGCGGTGTGACTGGCAGCCTGTCACGGGCTCCACACACCTCCTCCCCCCTCTGCTTTCTCCCCGCCTCGGGTTGAACCTACCAGAAGGCTCAGGGAAAGCAAACGTGAGTCTGTGCCACAGTGCCACGCCCAAGGGATATCAACTGTGGATGACACTGTGACATCTTCTGCGATTGGAAGTGTGTCATCAGTCATGACCCGTCAAAAAGGTTTGTGGAAGTGGTGTTAATGCCATGGTGGCAATGCAGCTCGTTAGCACGGTGACATATCATCTACACGACCAAACTAAGGCTCGGTCAGCTAGAATGCCAAAAATACAGAGAAACCAATCTCAAACTAAACTGCAAAAATATGCAAATTTCTACATGTAATTTCTATGTGTTATATGCAAATTATATCCTTTATTAGAACCTTCCTCACCAAAAATACAATTCACTAAATTTCTAAATACGTTCACAGTGCATCAGATATTTTCTCTGAGTGAGATGCAGTATTTTAACAGATCCACTTTTATATAGGACAAATATTTCTCACTACAGTGTCTCACCCACCTCCCCCCTCCCCTTTAGTATATATTTCAAACAGAGTTGAGTTATTCCACTGTATCACTCTGCAGTCACAAGCTGGGGATGGGCGTGCTCCCCCAATCCCTCTCTGTCAGACTACGAAGGCAGCCTCTTGCTTTGAAAATTTTCCCCATCATGCAAACTGACAAAGGCATGCTTTTCAAAAGCCCACAGCCAATCTGTTGATCATTATTTATTTACAAAGGCCTTCAGGCTGCAAGTCCTGTAAAAAATCATACTTGATACGTATGCTCGCTCTTGCTACTGTAGCTCTCTGTGTTTTCCCCCTCCTTGCTTGTAGAATAAAGTATCCCTAAGGCTACCTCAAACAATCACTTTTCATTGTGCATAAAACACACCTTGTTATACACAACTGTTTAATATATATGGTTTTATATGCTGACGGGGGCAGCTGCGGCGGCGGGGGGGTGGGGCTGTGGACTGTGATGGGTAATTTGATGTTTTGCTGAGGGCTAAGACTTGGCAAAAAATCTACACCTATAACAGAAGACCTGTCATCCCAGTACCCAAGAGCCAGCAAATACAGAAGCATCCCTAAAGCAGAGAAAACTTTGACACCGCTTTGAAGCGTTTTCAAAACTGAGTAAATAACTCGCAAGAATTATTATCACTCTGAGATCAAAGCAAAGATGCATATATTACATGGCAAATGGGGACCATCTTCTAAGCAGAAAGGGAAGAGAAGAAAAGGTTTTGTGCTTTAAGTTAGGCAAACTAAACAGCCTTTTAAACATGCAGTTGTCTGGAAATATGCCAATGTCTTGTTGTTTTTGTAACAGTTTTTTCCCTCTGAGCAAGGGCATCTAAAATGATGCTCTGTTGCAAACTACACTGAAGGGTATGACTCTGTGTTGGGCTAATGGTTTGGCAAGTGTGAGGGCTTATTAAGTGCTTGTTTTGTGGAGAACTGAGGGGGAGGCCGACAAGTATACTGGACAAAATCACGTTGGTATACTAGTTCAGTGGGAGGAATGCTGCCTAAGGGAAGCTAGCAGGACAAACACACAGAAGCTCAACTAATATAAGGAAAGTACACTACAAAACTATAATAAAACAACCACATATACCATGTCACAATAGAAATCAACAAATCCAAATGCTAGATATTAAAGTACATTTTTATTATACTTATTTGCAGAAATGTAATTTTCTGTTCATACAGTGTAATGGAATTTGTATTTACAGATTTAAATTCCATCAAGAATGTAGAATGTGGTGATTAGGAGTTTTATTTATTTTCCCACACAATTCAGCTACAGAACATTGTACTACTCTGCACCTTCGCTGCACAAATATCAACACTGAGAAGTGTATGTGACAAAAACCACACGGCCCTCTCTTTAGAATTTCCTACTGTTAAGTCATAGAGACAATGACCATTAACATTCACTCTCATTAAGAGACAGGCGGCAGAGCTATGAGTGTTCCTGTCGTGTTAGATCTTCACCGTGCCTTCATCCTCCTGTCCCAATGTGCACAACTCGGCCTCCCAGCGTCTTCCACGCTGTCGTGCTGCTCACTCCACCTCGCAGCCAGACAAGCACAAAAACCTACCCCTTTTATCTTTCTGGATCAATTAACAGCAATTTAATTCCACAGGACAGGATAAAAGGAAGGTAATATTCGAATTCATATTTGATTGTGATGATACATCTCACATATGGCCTTAAGTACCAGAAACAGTACTCACAGGGGTTCTCACAAAAGAGGAGTAGCCTGAGGGCAGAGTAACCATGCAGGTCCCTCTGATTGGTTGCTGGTGTCATTAGTGCCAGCATTGTTTAAGGAGTACATGTGGACCAGACCGGAGGAGCTGACAGCTGGGGCTTTAAAGCCAGAGGAGTTTTCACATGGCTTCTCACAGCTGCTTTTCATGACAGAAATATTATTTCAGCTCTGTCATTAACAGTTGACAGCATGCCATCCTATACAGCCAGAGCCTAACAGGGCACTTCTCCTCTCTCACAGTGTTTCTTACCTCCTTCTCCTGCCACCCCTAATTTGCCCCCTCCCATCCATCCAAACTCCCACCATCTCACCATCAGCAGCATCCGCCTCTGAAGTATCTCTCACACGCATCCCTCCATCCCTTCCTCCCTCCCTTCCTTCCTTCATTCTTGTGTTCAACTTCCTCTCACTCCCTGTTTGAAGACTGGAAAGAGAATAAAATCAGCATCTCTTACCTCATCATTTTGGGTGAGCAGTTGGGTGAGTTCCGCATCCCGCCGTTGCGCTGCTTTTTTTTGGGTGAAAGAGTTGATGGATGCTCATCTTCAACTGCAAACACATGCACAGAATGTCAGAATAGAGACAGATGACTGGGAAAGTGTGCTGGATCTGACATAAAAAAAACAAAAAAAAAAACAGCTAACAATCAATCAATTATTGCAAACAAAAACTGAATAAAAGAAAAGAAAAAATAATAATTCAGTGCCCATTGAGAAGATATAGTGAAAGCATTAGTAACGGACAATGGTAAATATAAAAAAGGCAGGAGAAAACCATGGAGAAAAACCAATTTACGATCTGAAAATGTCATGAAAGGCTCAAAACCCCCCATTTGGCTCTTCTAAGGCTGCACTTTTACTGGGCCTTCAGTGATACAATACAGTATTCAGTGGGACCTCTAGCAGTCTGCATCAGAGTGACCATGCTTACTTATACCATTAATTGCCATGTGATGGTACAGACTGTCATCGTCAGTGGGGTACAGGGAAAAGCAATGACAATGAGATAAATAAAAGTTATGGAGATGGATCTTGATTGGGTAGTTTATTTTTTTAATAAACTATGTAAACCCCGTCATTCCAGTTCCCACTAAAGCACACAGTGGTTCTTCTACAGGTCTACCTCCATGCCAAGAGATCAGTGAGCACGCACGCTAGCATGGTATGAATTAGTGGACTATGAATACTATATCAAAAGCAGCTAGTAAATGCACATCCTCCTCCAGTAGAACATCAGGACTAGTCTTAAAAGTCCAAATGAAAAATAAATAAGATTTTGTAAAACTATTTAATTATTTTGTGTTTGATGCTTTGGTGCTAAGCATTTGCAGAACACTAAGCCATAGTCACAATGTCTTTTAAGATTATGTTTGATCAGATTTAAGTTCAGTTTTCTGCTTTGCTGTGTTGAGAAATAGAAAACAAAACGCTATTTTTCAAACTTTGCTCGAGTTCCAGTTAGAGAGGACAAAAAAGAGAAACCAGAGCGAGGCCATGCCCATTTGTCTGACACTTTCAGTCAAGCTAGCAGCAGGCTGATTTTCACTATTGTCTGTGAGTTTCAAGAGCTTTCAGACAGGAACCCAGATACTCTTATCCACTCGGCACTCCCCCAGCGTAAATGCCAAGTGTACCATCACTTCAAACCCGTATTAGTCCTTTGGTTAGAAATCAATAACACAGCATGATATTAGTGCAAATCAATGTGCACGCCACAAGCCGTGATGATTCCAAGCATGTGGAATTTCATTATTGCCTGAGCACCCACTGTAGGCTGTCACCTAATTCTGCTAATAAAAGATAAGAAATATGACTTTGCCTTCTAATAAAATGTCACTCTCTGACATTTCCTTTATGCAATTGGGCATTCAGAATAGCTAATATCACAAGCACTTTCCACTTTACAAATAATTCTCTCTCTAATGTACTTTGAAAATACCACATTAAGAAATACTGTATGCATTCCTTGCCATACTATTTGACAGATTCTTCCTGGTTTAAACTTAATATTTGTTAACAGGAAAACATAACACATCTCACTTAAACTCACAACAAAATGAACTGCTTTCTAGTCACAGGGTAATAAAAGGTTTTACAGCATATAATTAAAAACTTAAGTACCTATTTCATCACTCAAAAGTGAGTACTAAAGCTCTGAGATTTGATTCCTGCAACATTTCTGAAAATACATACTGATAAGCAACTCTGCTATGTCAATTCTGAATTCACAGGTTTTATAGTAGGCAAATCTGTGCAAAACAGCAGGGGCAACAGCAGCAGCTCCAGCAGAGTGAACCTTCATGCAACAAACAAGACAGAATGAAGGGATGGGACAGGCATGTACTGACTAATGCATCCCGTTGAGGGGGCAACCTACAGTGCCTACTGTGACCGAGCAGCATGGCATTACTGGGGTAGTAGCGGTATTTCACCGGCAGACTGCAGGCCCGGTTCAACCGACTCTCAGCCAGGGATCTGGCCACCATGTCTCCTGGGCCTGAGATACTGAAGCGCAGATGTGAGGGGCCGCCTCTAGGCCCCAGCCCCACAGGGCGCAGGCTTCCTTTACAGTTAATAGCAAGTGGGATGTTGACAGTGCCTGGGTGGGTGGGTTGGTTGGGGTGCAAGGTGTTGGGAAGGAATGCATTTGAAGCGATGGCAGTGGAAGCGCAGCTGGTGGTTTTAACTGATCGGTTTTGAAAAGATGGTCTAACTTCATCCATTACTGTCAAACAATAGAGAATAAAATGTGTGAGAACGTCTGTATTAAGACAAATTAACTAGTAAATAAGCTACAGTGTTAGTGAACTGCCTAGTGTTCACAACAGCATGAATCATTTATTATTTTTTTTAAAACTTGTGGAAGCTTAATTTTCATTCCAGATGTCTTACCTACTTGCAACACTAACTGAAACGTTCACAGTGACAAACATGAACCAATTTGAACCCCCACTCAGTTTTATTTCCAGGTATGCTCCACTTTTTGGTAAAACAAAGCAAAGACACAGCTTGGCTAAAGCCAGACCGATCCATTCAGGTATTTGGTCATCTCCAACATAATCTGTAGCACAGTACATTCACTTCTAATAATTTATTTTACTACTAATTCAGAACCTGCAATCATTAAACATGACTTATTTTGGGTTGTGTTATTTTCCAACAGTACAGTACATGTTGATTTTTTTACTGTAACTTTAACAGTGATCACAGTCCAGTGACAACCCATTGGCTGTATGAGACCCAGCCATCCCAACAAACACACACACACACAACTGAGGCTGCGAGTCAACCTGTACTATATGTTTGTATATATTGCGTGGGCCATGACACAACTGCAGGACGGCAACAGAAAAAGATGAGTAAAATATCTGGTTGTAAAGTTGACTGGGAGAGGTGAAACCCTTTTCCTCCCATTGGTTTAAGGGTTGTTGGTTGGTTGTTTGGAGGACAGAGCATGCTTGGGTGGCCCTGGGCGATAAACAGACGCTTATCCCAGCCGTCAGCTGCCTCCTTGATTTACAGGGCGCCACTGATAGCTCCTGGATTCATCTGGCCCTTGTCAAACACATGCAGCGTTAGAGAGCACTCACCCGCCCTGGCAGGTCCACTGTACATCCTGAACAACCCAGACGGCAACTGTCCCTTTCTGAAATGCTAATCACATGATGGTACTGTCCTGCATGCATGTTTTATCAGATCACCGTGATCCAATGTAAACTGGGTGATGAGGCAGAGGAATAACAAATAAAAATGTTTACTTTTGTACCGTATGTGAGCTAAGCTGGCTTTGCCTGTACAATGTTTGCTGCATGAGCGAGCTTTGTTCTTCATCTGAATTGAAACCGTAGGAAAAAGCTTTTTAGGCCATGCAGTGTTGTGTTGTTACAGTTCAAATAAAACTGATATTATGATTTTTGCAGTTACTTTTAGTTTTGCCAAAGATGATGCCACTATTTCCAAGAGAAAACAAAAAAGTCTTCTCAATATGCTTCATAAGAACAAATACATTAAATAAAAATATATACAAATAAAATGTTAGAGGTGACAAATAGCATTTCAAGACTAAAATGTATTCTTAACCAGTAATGCATTTAACAACTGTTCACCAAAGATTTACCTAATTTGCAATCAGCTTTGAATCGGACCCCAGCCTCTTTTTGACTTCCACTGATCCCTGGTGTTGTAGCGCCATCTGCTGCTATAAGCAGCACAATACAAAAAGAATATTTCATGGAACTATGCTGTATTATCAGAACACAAAAATAATTTCTTTTCAGTTACTATCAATAACAGGAACTCATTACTTTAGTTTCCTGTAAACATAGAGTATGTTGAAATTCTAAGTAAATAAGTTAGAATAAACAGTCTGTCTCAGGTAAACATTAAAATTAACACTGGTTATAAATTGTGTGTTTACTTTGTCTCTTTATAAGACATCAATATATTCTAAAGGAATAAGGGACAACAAAGCAAATACTAAAGCAAAGCTAAAGTACTATTTAGGTTACATGACATAGTGGGAGGTCTACAGTCTAAACACAGAGCTGGAGCAGAATGGAAAAGGACAGAGAAAGACACTTACGTGATCTGACAAATCCATTATACTTATATTTGGCTGAGGAGAATGCAAAGACAAGTGGCAGGTCACACAGAGAGAGAAAGGATGTAATGAAACAGACACATTAGGATACAGAACATCAACATAAGAGCAGTGGATGGAAATTAAATCAGATGCAATGATGATGAAGTACTATCAGTGAAATACATGAGGACATAAACCAAAAATAAAAGGTATAAATAATTAAAATGGGGGGTGGGGGTGGGGGAGGTGATCAAAGTATGGCAGAATAGAACAAAAAAGGCAGACAGGTAAATGAAATCAACTGTCTATTCTGAGTATGAGCCATGCTTTTAGGTAAGTGTACTACACCTGTAATGAGATGTAATGGCAGTCTAATGGCTAATCATATTAAAATGTTCAAAAGAGCTAGGTTTAGGTTGAGCTTACACATATTCAGTGATAGATTCAATAATGTAATGCCTCTCATTTCCATTTAATCGTAATGAACACGGAGCCTGAACAAATAAAGCCACAACAACTACATACAGCACTTGAGTGCATGTAGACGACCAAAAACACAAGACACTTGCTACTCAAAGCGGCTGCACTAACAGAACACAAATGAACAGAGACATGATCTTTACAAGGAGCAAAGATCTCTTGCACAAATGGAAATTTTAAAAATGGGACATGTTCAAACATACAGTATGTCCAATGCTACATATTTAAATCTCTTGACATGTTCTTTTAAGAGGGCTGAGCAAGGTCTCCACTTACACCAGCACTACTAATTATCTGGGAATTACAGTTTATGACCTTGACTGAGGAGGTACTGAACACCAATATAAGTACTGGTGCA